GTGGTGATCAGCGTTGCAGTAACTATCATCAATCACTGGCACAGGTTTAGATAGCGACAGGAAGTCCCACGTTCCTTTCTTCCGTGGTCAATAATGGTCAGTCCGACTCTGAGTGTTGCTCCAAGTTCTCGCACAGTAGTAGTGACCAGAGTGGACTCACTCTTCGTGGAATGAGAGGATAAGCGATGATACTCCAACGATTAGGCATATTCCCAACAACATTCGGAACCATTTCGTCTTGTTGTCATAGGCGAAGCCCCTCTGAATGTTCTAACAGGTCATTGCTGGCGGACCGCAATGTGCGCATTGAAGTGCTCCCCATGACGTAGCAGGTCTCAATTGACTCTGGAGCCATCTAGATGTACAGTCAGCTAAGCAGCTCCCAAAGGTGTCTTTTCGCAGGTATTGGGCGAGTTTTGTTTTGTTCGGAGGCCACACACATCAGGATTATATTTCGTTGATCTTTTGCCGACTGTAAGAATGTCATACTGACCAGCCTGATGCTGGTCGCGGAAACCCCCCTCCCTGCACGGTTTGATGTGTGTGATTGAACTTTTGTGCACACTGCGATATAGCCACACCGTTCTTGGTGTTGTCGGTTGTATAAATGTTTACACTCCTTCATCCGTCTTTAAGTCTTCGGCACGTGAACAACACCATTCCGTGTGTCCTGTAATAACGCGCCAGATGTCGTTGTAACCCTTTCCTTCAGTATTTCTAATTAAGCTTGGGCAGAGCGGCCGAGTCAGGGTGCGGATCTGTATAGTGAGGCATCCTGGATGTCTTCTATATTGTACCTTACGGAGGACTTCATAGCTATGTTGTCATTGACGCGGACCGGTCTAGTCTTGCAAGCACCACTTCGCACGTGCGGGCCCAACCCTACGCTCATGCAAATCGGGAATACTGAAAACTCCCTCCTGATCATTATTGGTGCAAGAGTATGAGAATTATACTTCTGAGTGAAGATTCTGGCAATCCCCTAGTCCTGCGAGGCACACCCCACCTCACCCACTTAACGCTGGCTCGAAGCCCCTCCACCATGCCGCGTTTTTGGAAGGCCGGCGAATAGGAGTTATAGTGGGTCCACGGATGAATTTCAATACAGCTGAAGAAAAAAGTGCATAGCAATTCTCGTCTAGAGATGCTGAGTTTGGGAAGACAGTATCGACGCACCGTCACCAGGAATTCGAGACGCATCTACTACCTGCGGCGGTGGCTGGCGATTCCTAACTTTCGGCGCAACCGCGGGTAAAAGTTGCATCAACACAATACCACTGGCGTTCTCGTTCATTGCCATAGGAAGGTAACGAAAAACAATGCAGGATCTATCACCCATTGAATGAGTTACGATGTTAAGGTCCTTTTGCGATGGGAACTATCAGTTGTCTCCAGAGAGCTTTGATAAGTGCCTCCGAAGGATGTTCCTCCGCACCAATTAGCCAAAAGCGAGTGCGCAGAGCCGCTTCTACCTGATGGATTTATCAGCCAATACTTTCACGTATAGTCCAATCACAGGTCATTCCAAACGCAATGAAAGAAAAGACCGAATGGCAAGCAAAAAACTGTACACACCATATCCGGAAATGTGGTTGGCCCGTGGTGGTGTTGTTGCCTTAAATGACACCGCGCAAGGATGTGTTTATTTGGTAAAGTGGTCCGTTCTTCGGGACAAATTGTGAGACCCGATGGTTTTGTCTTTTAGCAAGGCAGGAATTACAGGCCAGCCGCCCCCCCATCTTCGAGTGGGAGTGACCATATAGTTTGGGATGACCTAGTAATAATTTACTTTTTTGCGCACGCATCGGCATGCTTGCGCAGTGGGATCCCCAGCATTAATTGCTTGCACCACTGACATGGTGACCTCTCCACTCGCCAGGCTCCGATCGAGACAGATAACGAGATCATGGAATTGAATAAAAACTCATTACTTGGGTTTATTGAAAACAGCGGGCGCAGTTTTGGCTGGCGCTTACTACTCGGCGCGCGTCGGCTGGCGCCGGAAAAAAAATAGCGAAATGTTCACGTATAGTCGAATCGCGACTTAAATGCCAAGTGTTTTTCGTTTCTCTCGTATACTTATCGCGCTGATCTCTTTTCTTGATTGCTGGTGTAGACTCATACAGTAAACTACCAGCTATTCCCCCTCACCGCGTTGGTTAGACGATGCAGTAAAACCATAGGTGCTGGTATACTGGTCTGAACTACCGTGAACCTAAAGTAGTAGTGGTAACCAAATTAGGAGGCAAAACTCATACTTCTCTTATTTACGCCCAGTCAGCGAAATAATTACTTTGCCACCTCCTATTACACGCACAAAATGTTTATGATTCCGGTAAGTGTGGAAGAGGGTCAAACGCCTCTTAATCTGCCGCCTATGCCGGCTGTTATCCTCTCTGTGGCCGCATCAGTACATAACCGTACCCGCGTCCACATCCCTATATCATACATCTCGGACAAATCCCTCCTGCGCTGCTAACCTGTGAACGGCGCCGAACGACCTTATTGATGTTCAGATTCCGCTTCTCAGATCATAATATATTCTTATGCGTCCTGCACTCATCAATAATACTCATACCCTACGTTCACGATGTCGATTCTCTAGGACACAGACATCCCAGCGATGCTGAACACACACGGTTAAATGAACTTGGCGACCGTTACACCTAACACGCATTATTCATCCCTTTTCTCTAATCATCACTTCCTGCCCAGCGCACCATGATTCATTCAACCCTAATGTCCTTCTTCGGAATCATCGCTCGCACAGCAAGTTATGAATTGGTGCTACACATCCCATCTTTAGAACCATGTGAGCTGTTATCACTTCCCCACAAAACATCATCCATCATCCCATCGTTCATGTCGCACACCCCGCCCCCTCCCCGTATCACTTTACCATTCGAACTCTCTCCGGCTGAATCAATGGAATTCTGGATTCCTCAAAAATACACCAACACCAAAAATAAACTTTGCGAATTACCCACCAGCGGATACTCAGCCCGCTGATGGAAAATGCACCTCTATACTGACATATTCCACCATTATCTTATTCCTCGTAATCATAGTCACGCTATCTTGAATGAAGGTCACCTCAGTCAGCGTGCAAAGCGATTAATACTGGGGATATCCCCACCTGGCAAGTATGCGCGAGGCTGCGCAAAAAGTAATTATAAGGTCATCCCGAGACCAACACTCACACTCGTGCACACCCCTTCGAGTATGAAGTACAACTACTGATACTGAGATTCCAGAAAGATTGCGCTGTTCTTTTAGTTTCGGTTGGAAAGAGTAAGATCTTATGCAGAACTTCGCTTGTTTCAGTTGAAGCAGTCGTCGAGAGTTTTTGCATCTACTTTTCACTATTCACCTCAAACACCCTCACACTCTATACCACCTTCTGTTCTACAAAAGAGGAAAATGTCTTGTAGTTTGTGCTCCTTCATACGACAGGAGCTCTGGTATTTTCTGCGCGCAGCGGTCCCGACTGTTCCTCTATTGTACTTACTTTCAGCATAGATATTATCCGTTTTCTTCGGCCGAATTACTGAACTGCGAGATCAGATTGCAGAGTGTATTCAGAATAAGTTGTATAGATCTATCTATTCTGAACAGAAATAGATCACCAAAAAGCGCGAATCTCAAGGGTGGCACAAAGCGATAGGAGAATTATCGGTTAGAGAGGAATGACGTATAGCCTTGC